AGGTGTGACTCAGACTATAGACATTTGCCAGGGGGGACTAAAAATGACGTAATCATTGTAAACAGAGACCTGGCATATAAGGATGTCTAAGGCACAATGTTTGATGTGCACTTTCAATAGATTATTTACCCCAAAGACTATCTAGGATGAGTGACTGCACCTGAGCAAAGATTAGACCCATTTATCAATAGTACAGACTGTAGAAAAACAGGCGTCTTTAAGTGTTGCTGTTGGCATTTTGCCAGGATTAATAGCAAGTCTTTACTACTTGCCCATCTAGATGTTTCCCTGTCTTGTGTTTTTTTCCCTCAAGAAATTCCTTCTTCCTGTTTCTGGGTGTTTCTGAGGAGGGGATTTGACTATTTCTCCAACACGGAAATAAATGCTTAAAAAAATACCTTCACACTGCAATATATCAAAAGCAGGCAGAGGGGGAAAGGGGAAAATAAACGGTTTACATGGATGAAGAGAAAGTGAGCTGCTCAAATTTGCACACCATGTTCACGGGCCAGCAACAGATGTGTGTAGGTGTGAGCGAGAGACAAACAGAGAGCATGGTAAGTATGCGTGAGTAAAGCAGCGTCATCGAGCAGGCAAGCAGGCCTTGGCAGACTGTGGGTGTTTTTATGGGTGGGACTTGGCTGCTGCAATTGACAGATTACAGTGGTGGAGGCGTGGCTTGCCCTTGCAGTCAGAGGAGCACGTGGCTAGGCCCGTCTGCACGAGGGAGCAGCAACAAAGACCAGCCAGTCTGGGCCACAGGACATCTGCTGCACACCAACACACACACACACGCACACATGCAGGGGTTCACATTTGATCACCACATGCAGACATGTGGTCAGGTCATACATAGAGTGTCTTATATCAGCTGTGAAGGGCAAACCCACACAGAGCCTGTAAATGGAAACTGATTTTTTTTTTAAATGCATATGCACCACCTCTTCGTTGGCCTTTTACATGAACCATGTGTGCACAAGTCTATACACACACTCCATATTAATCCAACAATTACCCAGATACCCGTGTACAGTGAGGCCTGTGTGTGAAGAGGAAAGAAGGAGGAGGAGGGACTTTAGATAGAGACTGTGGTGGGAAACTTTTGGGGAACTCCTCCCTGCTCACAAATAACAAGAAGCACATTCACGAGAGGTTCAGGGGAGGTGTGCAGTACCAGAACAAGCAACAGACTCAGTGGTCCTTAATTTGAGCCTGTTGTGCTGCTCATTCTTCCCCTTTAATGGTTTGAGTCTCTTTAATTTTCTGTCTGCCTATCTCTTGGAAGCATTCTCTAATTCCAAAGTGCTTCACTGAATGTTTCCTGAACATTTTCAGCAACAGGAATTTTCAGCAAATCTCTCCCTGATCTCCCACCACATCAGATAGACACAGTCTGTTCATGAAAAATGCTTCTCTTTATTTACTGTAGACCACACAAACATCTACACACAAACAGTACCACCCCCTTCTTTATGGGGGCTGCGCATAAAGCCGAGCGTAGACAGAGCAGGGTAGGGAGATCAAGTTTAGAACCGATGGTTTTAGTCAGAGCTTATCAAGCCCCACACACAGCTTATGTAAATGGATAAGCTGCCATCTCCACCACTAGCCCCTTTATCGACAGTGTCTCACCACACCGACGCCAGACACAGGCAAGCTGTGCCTCTGTGTGTGTTTGCACATGCATGTGTGTGTGTGTGTTTGTGTTGGGTCGACCAATATCTGCCTAGTAACTACAGACAGACTGCTCCAGATTCACATAAGTAATCCTCACACCCTTACACAAACACACACACGCACAAGAAAACACACAACAAAAGAAAACAAAAGAAATTGTAGGCATCTGTTGCCACGGCAGCATTGTTACTCAGCCCCTCACGTGTATGACATGTTAATGTACCGTATAAAAAAGGGACATACTGCTACAACAAACAGATACAAAAGCCTAGCTATGACAGCGAGGGGGATGGGTAACGATACTCAACACCTCCCACTCTCTCCTCGGCTGCCCCCTCCTCTCACTGAAAACCGTGAACCTTCACATACTGAACAGATATACGTTTCAACACATGCTCCTTCTCGTCTGCTCCCTGCAGGGCTGTGTATTAACACAACACATGCGCACAAAGACCTCAGTGTAATCCCAGTCTTCCATCCACCCTTCTTCATTCACATATGAAAAGCTTTCGGGCTAATGTCAACAGAGGGATAGTGCTACACGCATGTATGTACACACAGAAGACCATTAGCATGAAACTGCAGCGTGGTGGGTTGCCACAAGCACTGTTTTGAGCCTGTGTTGTAATATGTGAGCTGTGAGTTAAACTATAACTGGAAACTTTTTACTGAGGTTTGATTAGAGAAGAAAGACCGGGTTATAAAGGCTATATAAAAGAAGTCATGGTCATCAAAGCTTGTCTTTCTGAAAATCTCAAAAGATAATAAAACTGTGATGCCACGTGATATTAACTTGTACAAAAACACGCTGTTTTATGATAATGTAAGGAGTCTTCCTTAGGGTTTGTTGGCATGCATGCACTATGTTCCTTTAGTTATGTTGCTTATTGGAGATCAGTTGCTTTATTAACTCTCCAAATCACCCAGTCAAACACAAAGCATTTCAGTCGTTTCATGATTTTTACCTTTCTTCTTTTAAAATACTTTACTCTTAAAATATACCATAAAAATAACGAGTAAATATGCAATCAAGTAAACCTGTCCAAATGGACACAGCACAGGAAGCTAATAAAAGACAAGTAGGTCAGACCACAAGCTGTCCTCTGTTCATCTGTGTATGATGAAACCAGTTTTAGCAGCAATGTTTCCGCATGTGTGTGTGTGTGTGTGTGTGTGTGTGTGTGTGTGTGTGTGTGTGTGTGTGTGTGTGTGTGTGTGTGTGTGTGTGTATAAGAAGGAAAGAGAAGGACTTCCCCTTGAAAAAGTCAGCTGAAGATCAGCAGTCACTTTTGCTTTCACTTAGCTACCACCATTTTTCAGTTTCCATATAAAGCTAGTTTGAACCGGATCAAACACACTGAGAAATCTCAGTGATTTCCAGACTTCTGTAAGCTTCTAGATTTCCACGAATCGACACACAGAGAGATGACAACATCCCCCCGCCCCAAACACAAGCTCACACCACCCGACTTCAACACTTTTTTGTTTTTTTCAGCTCTGACCTGTAGTGCCTGGGGATTTGTGTGATGTTATGCTGACAAGGTGGGAGGGGATATGTAGAGACTTGTTAGACCTTAAGGCACAGTACCCTATGTATGTACTTAATTATGTAGTATGACGCATTTGCAAGTGAGTGGAGAGTACAGGTGTATTTTGTATCATAAAAACAAATCCAGTGGATGTAATGCTCTGGTGGCTGTTGATGTAAAAACAATGGGTTAAGTCAATTAAAGAGACCCCTCAAACTTTGTGTCAATTTTGTTTCACTATAAACATTTTTTTACCACAAGGAAAGACTTTATTTTAGAAATACTGAGGGCCAAAGAGCCTTTGCTGCCAATTTGACATTTGACAAGCCACCAAAAATAATTTGTAAGATGTTTTCTACTTTTAGTAAATTAATTTAACTGGAATATTTAACACAGCTACTTTGGTAATATAGCCTTACCCATAATGGCACAATTTGGACTACTACTTGTATTTGTGCAGAATAAGATATTTTGCTGTTCTAAAAGCTCACTTTGAGTAATGTTTTGTGACTAAAATCTCTTTTCAGTTTCTTTTATAAATTCCCAGAAATCCCACTAAGGGCTTACCCTAAGCTCTTTCAGTGGTCACAGTCCAGTAACTAGCGCCAGCCTTTATTATTTCCTCAAGGCATTATTCTAACAGATGTACACCTTTAAAAAAATTCCAATCTTATGGTGCTGCTCACGTGTTTTTCTTGAAAACTTCCCCAACATCAACACAGGTGCTCGGGTGTTTTTCTCTTATACAGCTATCTTTGTGAAGACTAGTTTGACTCTACAAAATAGTTACAATGTCTGAACATTTTTAACTTCATCCACAATTTTTAAGAGCTGTTTGATGTTAGCAGTTTTGATTTGAAATAGGGTTAAAATCAGGGCCTAACGACTGACTGGGCCCTCACTGGGCCTAACAGTATTGATAATGTCAAGGTCACTATTTAGTATCAGTAACTGGGACATTAGCAGTTTGTAGCCAAATGTTGTGAAATGAGTCCGCTTGGCTTGTCTCCTGGAAAACATGTTTACAACCTGTACGTGCTTTGTTCTTCTGACAGAAATAATCATAGGCCATGTGAGTAGCAGGAGGGGCGAGGCTGTCACATTAATAGTGCCATCTCACAGATAAGTGTGTAGAATCTTCTACAAAGAGGCATCACGGATCACGGACCTGCATTCTTCTTGTTTTAATTCACTCATTGTCAGCACCATTATTCATTCATCCTATCATTTAGGTGGATTACTCAATATGGTCGTCCTTGTAGGAGGATGACGAATAGATGTGTAATAACGCAATCACGAAGTGGCGCAAGCGCAGACTGCGTTTCAGCGCCCTCCCTTTCTGGCAGAGCTGTACACAGAGCTCGAGGGCTCCGCGGGTAGCCAATGGGGACACGTTGTTTTACCCGTGACATCACCGCCACTCCTCTGACTAAAGAGGGAAACAAACATCCATACAGAAGGAACGGGAGAGGAAGAGAGAGAGGAAGGAAGGTAGGAGGCCGAGGAAGGGAGACTTAAAACCCCTCTAAACCTGTCTGGCACCGAGGACGACGGCACATAACCGAAGCAAGAAAGAGAAAAGGACCTCACCGGGACCTGAAATCAATCGACATTTCCCAGCTGCCCACACTAACGGCCACTTTTCCCCGTCGTCTCGCGAGAAACTTCATCGATTTTTAGCAGGTGATGATCTTGGATTATTGTTTTTTGGGATTTTTTTCTGAATATGGATGATTTTGGAAGTGAGCTCGGCTTATCGAGGTAATCAGCCAAACGATGGGTGTTTGCAGAGGTGGCGGTCGGTGATGGCGACCTTTAACGGTGGATTGAAAGGTCAGGCGGTGCGTTGCGTGATGGCTGAGTGTGATAAACAAGCTTTTTCCACCCCCCATTTCTTTAGCTTGTTAAAGTTGCCATCACCACCATCTCCTCCTCCTGAGTAGAAATGTCAAAAGCCCTCGGACGTGATTCCGTCTCTTTCAAGGAGGTGAAAATAACAAGGGAGGGAGCGAGCTAGTTGGTTGCTGTGCCTATTTTTCTGTTTGTCCCGAGAGCTGGGGGATGGGGCACCAAAGCCAGCTAATTCCTGTCTAGAAATAGAAAATTCATAAGCTGAATAAGCAAGCAGGGCGAGAGAGTTGCTTTCGAAATTGCTACAGAACATTTTCTTGAATATAGGTTCTCGCACGGCTTCGGCCGATGGAGGAAGTAGTTTCAGCTTTGGCTCAGACGAGCTTTGCTCGATGTGTAGAACTATGTGGCATCACCAAGTCTCTTTCTAAGTGCCTTAGTGTGATTATATAACCGTGGTTGTCCGCATAGCTTCGCTTAAATCACGCAGAACACCGCATTTCAGTACAAATAAAACGATTAAGGCGAACTACAAAACGATGTCTAAACAGGAAGCAGGGAGATTGCAGACAAAGGAAGAAAGAAGAAACAAAGGGAGCCGATACCTCACTGTCTAGACAGTGGGTTTTCAGAAAACATTAGTGCCGTTATCTTCCCGTAGGCTTCTCGTGGTTTGTTTTCAACACTGTCCATTTTTAAAGAGCAAATTTTACAGCATGTGACAAGCCCAAATGTTTTGTTTTTTTCTTCTCTCCCCTGCCCTTCAGTGTGACTCAGGACTTTTTAAGCCCAGCAGGGCCTGAAATATGAGCTTGGCTTGCGCCTGATAAAGAAGCACAGTTTCCCCCTTTTGTTTGCTGGAGATTATCACACGTACGTTTTTTGTTTCCGCAGTAGTTTTTGTTGTCCACAGAAATCAAATGGCATAGTTTCTAGTCAGACCAGTTTTCACATTTGGTTATAGTGAAGGGTTTGGATCCTTTGTGAAAGGAAGTTGGGTTTATTGGTCGTGACTGATGATCTGCTCTGTGCTGGAAAGCCCCCGACTTCCTTTTGTTTGGGGTATTTTACAATTTCACATCTGTAGTGTTTCATAGGATTGTCTGGAATAATTCACAAGTGCATGTTTTGTTATAGGTAGGGACTGATTGAGGTGAATGTGTAATGACCCTCAGTATGCTTTATGTATCTCTGGAAGATCCCCCTTTGTTTCGAAAAACATGCAAGTCTTATGAAGTATTCAGCGTGGCCATGTCTTTTTTACCTTATCGCTGTGCTTATAAGGTCTTGGTAAATATTAGGTTACCATGCCTGCTGTTTATCAAACACCTGGACCCATTGTTCCTTTGTGTCATAAAGTTAATGTGTTAACTGCTATGGGCCTCTTTTGTACGGTAATATGTTTTTGCATCGTCAGATGTGATTTAGTCGCAATTTAAATCAATACCTTTTCTTTTATTGAAGTGTTTCTGCGTAACGTGGAGCTAAAATCGTCCAGTCTACATCTAGTCAACACGATAAACTGATAAGTCAGTCAGCTTTAAAAGGAAATTACTGATGATCCATATAAAGGGGGTTGAAATGAAAAGCATTTTGAGCTACGCATTAGTTACTAGCTTTTAGCTGAGTCCCCCTGTCTGGTATTTTTCAGCAGTCAGCAGTTGGACACGTGACACAAATGAAAGGGGAAAAAAAGGTCTTTGTGGGCTTTTCCAAGGAGACCCTTTATTGACATACTGGTGAAAACATCCAGGTGAAGAGAAACGAGGAAGTGGTAGGAAGACAGGTTTGGGTGGGGGTCTGATAGCTAATGGTGCTTGTTATTTAGGACACCTCGGGTGGACTGACAGGACGTTCTAAACCAACTGCCAGAACATTGAGCTCGCCTGCCCTGTTTGTGTCCGTGACCAGAATATAGACGAGCTTCACACCAACGCAAGCAGCTGCTGTGTTGCACCAGAACAGGGCAAAGGTTGTCCACAGAGGAAATATGAGCCCGTTGCTGTGTGTGGATTTTATATTTTATTTTTATTTATTTTCTGTGTGTGGGGGGGCGGGGAGAAGAATCATAGGTGATCGGCTGAGTTGTAAAATGGCCTGGACAGGGCTGGCAGGCACAGCTCTTCTTTCCTATCTAATCCAGGCCTTCCATGTGTATCTGTCCTTTCATGTGGCTGTTTTTGATCAATCACCTCAAAGTCACCGTCTCCCATTACACAACTTCCTGCGCTGTTGCACAAAGACGGGTAGCAAACGTCACAGGACTACTTGTTTTGCCAAGTTACGCACATGCACGCTCATTTTCTGGGCGTATGCGTGGTGAGAAATGACTAGGGAGGTTTTGAAATGCCTTGTAAGGCAAGAGCCAAGGGTAGGGAGGGGAACACTTTGTGAAACAGCTGACCTACTTTGTTTACGCTTATTGTGCCATTTAGCAAAAGCAGAATCTTATTTAATCTGAAGTGTTTCGTATGTTCTTTTGCGATCATGATACCGCGAGTGAGTCAGAGCTTTTGTTTTTAATTAGATGGAGGAAGTAAGGGCCTGAATTTGGTATGAGGAAGAAGAACAGCTGACACTAAAGCCTACGAAAAGCAGAGGATGGGGGGGGATAATGGGAATACCTCTCAGTTTTTCTCAGAACCACCAAAAGAGACGGCAGGAGGGAAGAGGTGACACTGCAGTGAACAAAGCTGTAAAACAGAGCACATACGAGCCTTTGCCAAAGGTGTTGAACAGAGAACAGTGAGTGTTGTTTGTTCTGTGGGATTCCTGCGGAGACACATTCATTACTGTATTCAGGCTAAAGGGCAAGTCAAAACAGAAAGCTGAATTTACATAAAATGACAGCCGTGTTATCAGTCAGCTATGTTGATACTGCAACCAGTTTCTCTGGAACCAGACTAACAGGAAGAGCGGTAGGGGTGGAAATGCATCCAGGAAAACATTTCAGTTCTTTTTTTTTTTTTCTTTCTTCCATGCACGTGTCAGATCGAGGTGTTGGTGTTGCAAACTGCACGTCGGTCTAAGAAGCATTCTCACTCTGTCTCCCTCATTCTTTCAGCAATGGCTCAAGAGACGAACCAGAGTCCAGTGCCCATGCTTTGTGCCACAGGTTGCGGTTTCTATGGCAACCCAAGAACCAATGGTATGTGCTCCGTATGCTACAAGGAACACCTGACACGGCAGCAGAGCAGCGACCGCATGAGCCCCCTCGGCCCAATGGGTAAGACCACACACACAAATTTGATTTGTCTTCTCCTTCAGAGTTACTGCAGCTCAGACTGATTACATCAGTTTCTATGTAAACAAATACATGAACTTTAATCAGTATATTTAAAGCTTTTACTCCACTGTGGATAATAACAGACAGGGTCAGGGTGATGGGGTGCTCCTTTAAGCACTTCTGTGATCCAACATTAAAGTTTTTCATGATGCAAAACACTATCAGTACTTTGAAACAAGGAACAAGGGAGAATATGTCCCAAAAGAGAAGTGACGTTGAATACATTTTTAGATAGGCCTGAAACTGCTGAAAACAGTTTCTATTATTCAGCTCACTTGTTGGCATGCAAACCCACATCACTTGGATTATATTTATTTGGATTTTTAAATTGATTATCATTGTCATCATACAGGCTCAACTGCTAGTCCTACCTCAGAGGCTTCTGCCATCCAGAGACTAGAAGCCAGTCTAGCAAAGGTTGATGCCTCCCCTGCCCCTTCACCAGACATGTCTAGGTCAGTATCCGCTGCCATTAGCTCTCGTGATGTTTGCTGGTTACTTTTCTTGAAATTGAATGAGCAATGTGATGACTGACTCACCTCGCTCCCCGCTGGTTAAACCTGCAGAACCATTCAAGGATCTCTTCCTGTGACTCAGCAAATGACCGAGATGAGCATCTCCAGAGAGGACAAACCTGAACCCCTAGAGCCTGGTAAAAACATGCTTTCATTCCTATTGGTTACTGGCAACATTGCAGGCATTTTACACATACCTAGTTGACAGCTTAAAAACACACTTCTCGAGGCAAACACTGCTTCATAGTTCTTTCTGTAGCCTCAGTTTTATTTTTGATGCTTCGCTGCATACCTTAAGCTCCGTTGTTGGTTTTCACTTACAGCCTCCAAGAAAGAGAGGGTGTCTAAAAATAAACCTGTTTAAAAATACCTCCACTCTCAGGACACTCAGATTTAACGTTGCCTGCCAGAGGCTTGCTCAGAATAGTGTATTCTTTGCTGCCAAGAACAAGAGGGGGCAATTTAGAGATAAGGAAAATACTAATTACTATTATCTTGGACAACAATGCAACATTTTAGAGGCCACTGGCTTTCATTGTCTTGTAAAAGTATGACAAACAGCCTTGTTTGCTGCTCTGGGAATTAAAGGGATAATGACACATTAAAGGCTTCCGTGACTTATGACTTTTTTTTTTTTCCCTCCCGTTGTCTTTCTTTCTGCGTAGTTGTAAGCCAGCCTGCTGCTTCTAGCCCTACTCCTGTAGCCTCTTCTAGCAGTGAGGAAAGTAAGAGTGACACCCCCAAACCTAAGAAGAACAGGTGCTTCATGTGCCGCAAGAGAGTGGGCCTCACAGGTGAGTGAGCAGGTCGCAGTTCAGCATGAATTTCTGTCAGTGCACTTGTGAAACACTCCCATTCCAGCTTTTAACCCTTGATTTTTGCGCCTCCAGGTTTCGACTGTCGCTGTGGCAACCTGTTCTGCGGCATCCACCGGTACTCTGACAAGCACAACTGTCCCTATGATTACAAGGCCGAGGCTGCCGCCAAGATCCGCAAAGAGAACCCCGTGGTGGTGGCTGACAAGATCCAGAGAATATAATAGACGAGACAGAGCAGCAGTGGCAGCAACAATGAAACACCATTGACAAAAGACTGGAGTACGAGTGCGAACCTTTGAAATGAGCATAAATGAGAATGGAACAGACTTGATTTACAAAATTACAACCTCAAGAAGATCATGGAGAGGAAAAAAAGAAAAACATAAAAGATCCTGTCTGAGGAAGATGCATGAATGATCACTTTTCTCCCTCTTTTTTTTTTTTTTTTTTATTAACTCATTAGTTTTTATCCTGTTTTCTGTGGTGTGGTTTTTTGTTTTGTTTTTCTCGTTTTTTGCCGCCGTTCAGTCCGACGTTTTGTTTTTTCTAAGAATATGTATTGTCTTACTAAGAGCAGACCAGGCTACATGTCCAGGATAAGCTGTGCTCCTCTCACCCATACCAGGCGCCATTATTGTGCCAAACCGTAGACGGCCATTTAACACACGCCACCACGTGTCAAGACACTGGCTGGTCTCTCAAAAGCATTCAGACTACACAGAAACAGTCCATACAAGTTGTGTCCCTCAACCTTTGAACTTCTCGCTCTGTGCTCCGTCGGCGCTGGAGTCGGTCAGCGTCTCCTGCCTCGCACGAGGAGGGGGGGATTTGTTGCGATGTCTTTTCCTAGCTTTACCTACCTCACGGCTGCCGCGTTAAGCTACGTTGTCTTCCCTTTTACTTTTTTCGTCAGCTTCGACCCCATCAGAGCAGTTGATCATCGTGACAGTCGGCGTCGGTGAATTCCCCTAACCCCTCCAATCGGCACACCTTGCTTTCACTTTGATGGGTTTTGATTGAGGCTGTTTGGAGGTATCATGCTAGACGGGGACACACAAATTACTCGCTGAAGGAGTTCCACCAACTGTTGCAGGACTGTGTGTGTGTGTGTTTGTGTGTATGTGTGCGTGAGCCGACGTGTGGCCTGAGGGGAAGGATGGCACCCTTCCCCCGTGGGTCTGGTAGGGTCAATGTAGGCTTCAATATTGTAGGGGCATGAATGAATGGGATAAATGCATGAGTCACTCTTCATCTGTGTTTAGTGTTTCACAAATATCATTCAACTTAGGGTTTCAGATGTTTTATTTGCTGAAAGACAATTATCTGTTATGTTTTATTAGCTTATTTTTCTCTTCCATTGTACTGATGTTAGCACATGTATTCAGTGCATTGATGGAGTTAGGGTATGTGAACCATGATTTCTTTTTTTTAAATGCGCTAACAAAACATTCGTGTGAGCACTGTGTGTGTGTGTGTGTGTGTGTGTGTGTGTGTGTGTGTGTGTGTGTGTGTGTGTGTGTGTGTGTGTTGGGCTGTGTGCATGTGTTCTGTCCTCACCTCTTCCTTATCCCTTTTGACTGTGGAGCTACCCAGTTTATCAGCACATGTTTACAGAACTACAGGAGCATGCCAGAGCTAGATTTATGAAAAATAATAGATACCAAGATTAGATGTAACTTCTCATCTGTCTAACAGCTATTGGTCTCTGTGTCTCTGCTATAGAGCACTGTAAGGGGGGAAAAAAGGGAGGGGAAAAAAGTGTGCGTGTGTTTTTGTGTGAGTGCACGTGCACATACCTGTGCGACAGTGTGTTTTCATGGCTGCCTGACACATTGAAACCGATGTATGTTTGTGACTTGTTTCTCCCCCGTATGGATGTGTTTTTTGTTTTGTTTTTTCATTTAAAGTTAACTGTATGTATCCGTTTGAGTTTTTCCTTTCTGATTCTTAGTTATATGCAAATTTGTACAAAAAAGAAAAAACAAAACTGTGTTGATATTTATGTATTACATATAATCTTGCTATCCAGCATTACAACAGAATAGTATCATGTAAATAAAACTGTACAGAGAGACATTACAAAAGGCTGAGTGTGTGCTGATTCAGTGTCCCATTTTGCTTATTGTTTTTGGGGTTTGGTTTTTTTTTTTATTGCCGGTTTGATTAAACGTTAAGATAGAAAATGTGGCCAAAACAAGCAGGTTTTGGATGACTGTGCATAGGACAACTTGACTGAACGTGGCTGGATTATTTTCAGTCAGGACAAGACTAGAGTAGGAGCACCATTTCCCCCGTCATTAATTCCTAAACCAGGCTAACCTGACCTCAGGCCGAGGTCTGGGTCACACAGGAAGTATTAATCTCTGGATTGCGGAACACCGTGTAGGTAGGATGCTTATGAGCGTGTTTCAGGGACACTTCTCACACTCCTGTTTGGAGCCCCAGGGCGAAGGCCGTTCGCAGATGGCGTTAACGGGAGCAGCTGCTCAGACAGCTGAGGTGTCCTCATGTGGTGTTGCTGTGACAGAGGACCACAAAGATCACATTGTCTGGACACACAGCTAAAATGCGATGGATTTCCACAAATGGGTGGGAGGAAAAAATCTGAATCTTATGCCAGTGACAAAGCATTATTAATCACTGACCACGTCTTCTGAACCCGATATGACAGAAGAGTGAGTACACCATGTAACTGATGCAGTGGAATCACACTACATTGTTAACGGTCTCTTTCCACTATCACACAGACTTAACCTACAATTTGTTTCACTGATGGATGCAGATCCATCAGATCTATCTGTGTCATCCTCTCCCTATTTGTCTGTCATTGGGTGTGACCGAGGCCTCGGTGGCCTCAGAGACTCCGACTAGTGGAAAGTGACAGATGCTGTAGCCAGATGTGCAAAGGCGATGGAAGTTATATGGGGCCACAAACAGGAACATACAGTACTCTCCTCTTTAAAGACAACAATCCAACCTTATAGAGCACTTTAAAAACAACATGGTTGACCAAAGTATTTTCCGGGAAAAAAAACAACAGTGAAACTTAGGTTAAGTTCATCTTATTCCTTTTCTTTTCACACACTTTCTACATTAAATCCTGACTGATTCTTGCAGCTCATAGTTGGGTCAAGATAACCTACATTAAACATGCACTCACTATCCGTTTCACATCCATCCACAGCAAAATGATATACATATATTGGGAACTTAGGAGTTTGAGGGGACTATGATAGAGTTGTCTGACAAGTCAGTGTCCCGGAGAAAGACAACTGCTCTCAGTGCTGCCACCTGGATGTGAGAGCTGTATAAGTGCAACCCACTTACCACACATTTTCAAAGCACTTGTGTATCCAATATGAATCACACAGCATCATTACATCATACCAAAACACATGTTTATGACTAACATGTACATAACAGTTGAATAAATGCCTTTATCGGCAAATGAGTCAAGTGCTTCAGGGAAAAGTAGTGAAATAAGCAAAAAAAGAGAGAAAGAGAATCTTTTAAAAACCAGCATATCTTTTCATCAAAAACTCAACAGTGTGTTTAAAAAAATTGTATTAGGGCACTAAAAGCTTTACAAATATGTGGCTGTACAGTTAAAATGTATGTATGTCATTTTAGAAGAATATTGGTGGTTGATGGAAAGAAATGTTATGTGGGATGATAACAACCTCAGAGGTACCTGAAAATCCAACCTGGACAGCTCTTCATTAATCATTGTCATACCTACACAGAATTGTAATTTTTTTATATTTTGAAATATTACATTTTGGATGTTGTAGCTCACAGACTGTGGCCCACGCCGCTAATCATAGAGTTCACAGTGCAGCTGTACTTGTAATTATATTGTCCACAATGAGGCTCATCTTTCTCATTTAGCAATTTTAATTTAGATCAAAATGACAGTCAAAGACTAACAGATGAGTTCCTGAAGATCAGTTCTTGTACATGCTTCTTTTTGCACTTCATAAATCTGACGTTTATTTACACCAAGAAAACGTTTTGGATCTTGACCTCACACTGTTGAAGGTGCTGAACAATTACTCTTTAGAGTGGAGTGAACCGAAAGGACATCCACACTTTAACTCCACTCTTTACAGTGGACTCTCCTGTGTGGGGCTCAAAGCTTTATCTTGCATCAGCTCGTCATGCAGCTTAGAAGATAATGTACATGGGGGAAATAATTATTTGATCCTCACTTGAAATTGTAAGTTTGCTCATATGAACAGTCTCTAATTTTTATTGTAGCTCCGTTTTCAATTTTTTTAGATGAGAAGTAGACACAAATCCCAAATCAAACATGGACTTATCCATTGTGAAATTGTTCACAAACTTGCTCTCTGATGGATGCATAAGGGGCAAGTCAGGGTTCAGTATCTTGCCCAAGAATGCTTTGACATGCAGACTGGAGGAGCCAGGGAATCGATCCGGCAGTTGACCTGCTCTAATTCCTGAACCACAGCCACCCTCACCTGCCCCCTATTTGTGGAGCTACCCGCTAACACACAGGACTAGAGATGTCCCAATCCTGGATCTATAATGTATGTAATCTTTAATGTTTAAAGAAACATTTTAGTGAAAGCAAAGACTGATATGAATCAATCACATTTTTTAATAATTGCTTTTTCCCTATTTTGTGCCAGGGATACAAAGAAGTTTTCATTTAAGAAAACTGCCTGGTCTATTTAAAAGTCTGTCGGTTCCTTGTCACGCTGTCACTGAACACTTAGCCACTGCCAAACTGATGTGACCAAACAAGTAAACATCAGCCAGTGCCACAGGAAAGTGTTTCATCTGCAGATTGGTCTACAGCTAAGTTTGGCTGGTATAGTGATTCCACAGATAACTTTATGCAGAGATTCAGCATGAAAAGGGAGTGCAGAATTATTAGGCAAGTTGTATTTTTGAGGAATAATGTTATTATTGAACAACAACCATGTTCTCAATGAACCCAAAAAACTCATTCATATCAAAGCTGAATGTTTTTGGAAGTAGTTTTTAGTTTTAGCTATTTTAGGGGGATATCTGTGTGTGCAGGTGACTATTACTGTGCATAATTATTAGGCAACCTAACAACAAACAAATATATACCCATTTCAATGATTTATTTTTACCAGTGAAACCAATATAACATCTCCACATTCACAAATATACATTTCTGACATTCAAAAACAAATCAGCGACCAATATAGCCACCTTTCTTTGCAAGGACACTCAAAAGCCTGCCATCCATGGATTCTGTCAGTGTTTTGATCTGTTCACCTTCAACATTGCGTGCAGCAGCAACCACAGCCTCCCAGACACTGTTCAGAGAGGTGTACTGTTTTCCCTCCTTGTAAATCTCACATTTGATGATGGACCACAGGTTCTCAATGGGGTTCAGATCAGGTGAACAAGGAGGCCATGTCATTAGTTTTTCTTCTTTTATACCCTTTCTTGCCAGCCACGCTGTGGAGTACTTGGACGCGTGTGATGGAGCATTGTCCTGCATGAAAATCATGTTTTTCTTGAAGGATGCAGACTTCTTCCTGTACCACTGCTTGAAGAAGGTGTCTTCCAGAAACTGGCAGTAGGACTGGGAGTTGAGCTTGACTCCATCCTCAACCTGAAAAGGCCCCACAAGCTCATCTTTGATGATACCAGCCCAAACCAGTACTCCACCTCCACCTTGCTGGCGTCTGAGTCGGACTGGAGCTCTCTGCCCTTTACCAATCCAGCCACGGGCCCATCCATCTGGCCCATCAAGACTCACTCTCATTTCATCAGTCCATAAAACCCTAGAAAAACCAGTCTCGAGATATTTCTTGGCCCAGTCTTGACGTTTCAGCTTGTGTGTCTTGTTCAGTGGTGGTCGTCTTTCAGCCTTTCTTACCTTGGCCATGTCTCTGAGTATTGCACACCTTGTGCTTTTGGGCACTCCAGTGATGTTGCAGCTCTGAAATATGGCCAAACTGGTGGCAAGTGGCATCTTGGCAGCTGCACGCTTGACTTTTCTCAGTTCATGGGCAGTTATTTTGCGCCTTGGTTTTTCCACACGCTTCTTGCGACCCTGTTGACTATTTTGAATGAAACGCTTGATTGTTCGATGATCACGCTTCAGAAGCTTTGCAATTTTGAGACTGCTGCATCCCTCTGCAAGATATCTCACTATTTTTGACTTTTCTGAGCCTGTCAAGTCCTTCTTTTGACCCATTTTGCCAAAGGAAAGGACGTTGCCTAATAATTATGCACACCTGATATAGGGTGTTGATGTCATTAGACCACACCCCTTCTCATTACAGAGATGCACATCACCTAATATGCTTAATTGGTAGTAGGCTTTCGAGCCTATACAGCTTGGAGTAAGACAACATGCATGGAGAGGATGATGTGGACAAAATACTCATTTGCCTAATAATTCTGCACTCCCTGTACAGTAGTGTGG